CTTTTTAAGTGGGAGAACTTGCACAATTGGTGGCTGACTAAATACTTTTTTGCCCCACTGTATATGGCCACCCACCTCACTGAGTGACTCTGGGCAGCAAACAGTATTAAAGTAAAATTAAAACGATCCTCTAAAATCTGTATCAAAGTACTGGAAGATACTTCAGAACAGATTTTGAGGTCATCATGATTTGCTGCAGGCAAAAGAAAGGAGAGGACAATCCCAATGTGGTACCAGAAATATACTACACAGTGTTGGATGTCACCTAAAATGTTGTTTTTGCTGCTCCTGCTGCTTATTGCAGGGCTTGCATAACTAGAGTTCTAAGAGGCACCTGACCAATTTTGCACAAACTTCTCAAAATATCATCATCATACAGCATCATTGCACATGGAAGAAAAGCAGTCACTATCTGATAATCATTGAGAATACTCTGGAGATGGTGCAATAAATACCAGGGCCAGCAGCAAAATGCCATCTTAATTAGTTTCAGCTTCTAAAAGGGGAATAAATCTCTATTGCTTGTGGCCACTAATAACTCTCTCCATAGAGAACAGTAAGAATAATTTTGATATTCCCACAATTAGAAAATTTCACCAAAACCACTCTTATACTAAAAATGAGATTGAAAATTCAAAAGGGTATTTCATCTATTTCTGCTGTTTCTCATTTCTCATCTACATCAGCAATACTGGTCTATTCATTGTGGTCATTTAACATTTATGGATCAATATGATTTCTCTAATGCTTCTAGAATAATGTGCTTGTTTTTAATCAAAGACATTTTCCTCTGCAAAACAAATAGTAAAATGACATATTAACACTGAAGAGGAAACAATGCTAAATAAAAATACATTTATTAATATAATTTGTATGAATACAAATACAAAAGAATTATAAAATAAATCCACGCATCAGCTCAAGATTTAGTTATAAATACATCCTTTGTATATCTGTTATATATGTGAGAGGGACTATTACTATAATAAGAAAGAACATTGTGTGTTTTGTATGTATGTATATTTGTAGGGTGTATGTATGGATGTGGATGTATGCACACACACACACACACATACACAAACAATAATAGTGTATTATTATAAACTTTATAAAATATTATAAATTAATAATTATTACTATTATAATCAGCCCTATCTATATCATCTATATCTATCTACTCAGATTGTGTCAGTGAGGTAATATAGCCCCATTTTAAAGGGACTGCTATGGCAGTTACAATTTGTACTTTAAGTATTTATAATAATATTAATAAAAAGTAAATTCAACATGGATGAGTGCAAAATGTTTGCATAAGATACAGGAAAGGAAAACAGCATTAATCTGATTTATATGAAGTGGCTTTTTAAATCCCTTCCTGCTGTAGAAAATAATATATTTAGAGTAATTGTAGATAATTCTCAAGATTAAAATACTTTTGAAAAATTATTTTACTTGAGAAAGGTAAAGGATGCTCTATTTAACTCAGTAGGATTGTTGATGTCTGCACAGACTTGCAGAAAAACACATGTTGTATCCTGACAGAATAACATAAAGTAGTGGTTAAGGTGTTGGATGTGGACCAGAGAAACACAAGTGCACCAACAGCTACAAAAAATGGTGTTGTGTGACTTTGTGCTGGTTATTTTCTCACAGAGTTGTTTGGAGAAAAATGATGGGAAATCCCCATCTAACCTGTGTTACACAAAAGATGGGATATAAATTCAGCAGATAACTAACTATAAAAATAGCCAGGAAAAGGGGGAAAAAATCTCACCTCTGTCACAATTTAGTTCATCGCTCCTATCCACACAGTCTTGAATTCCATCACAAAGCCATCTGACAGGTATACAGTGTGCTTTATTTTTACACTGAAATTGGTCTTCTTTACATTCTGCTACACAATGCATCTGTGTAAACATATTCATATGTGGCCGTGATTATTACCAATCAAAGTAACAGAAGTATAATTGGAGCAACTAGAATTCAGTAAAACCAATTCAATAATTTAATCACTGGTATTTTTCTTTTTTATTGATAAGATTATGATCATCACAGAATATAAAATGTTACATTCACAATTGTATGACTCATGTAGCTAATAATCAGTATTCAAAAGATCTGTGTCAATAAAGGTCTCTTACTCTTCTTACTCTTATCCCATTTCTTCATATACACTAAGTATTCTGTTTCGAAGATTAGGGGATCTTTAAGAAAATCCAGGGGAACAATCAGAAATAGGACATCATATAACCTAAGAATTCCCTAGCTAATATAGTGGTGCAATTCTCTTTTTGCAAGACACCAATGAGATAATGCCCATTGATTCTTATACACAAGCCACTCAGCCACACAGTTTCATAAACTTGTGAGATTTCTTTTATTTATTTATTTAATGTATAATTTTGGAGGAACAAAATCATGTAAGTGGGAAACAACAATAGGCAAAATGAAACTATTTCAGTATAAACATCTTATTTTAAAAAAAAATTAAACACAAAAATAAGAAAGGACTTACATACGCTTATAATAAAAAAAATTAAAGCTACAACCCAGCCAACTACAACTAAAATATTGTAAAATAAAAAGATCACAAACTGTTCCCCATATCAATGAAAACATTAATTCTCATTACTGAAATAGAGAATTTTACTAACTACTGGATCTATGTTTCGTGGATAAGCTCCTGAATCAAAAGGATATTACACAGTATTGATATTCTAAATTTAAGTTTCTAAATTTGTAGAACAAAATATTAGATCAGATTAAGATAATTAATGTCTTACCTCATCAGAACCATCAGGACAATCATATTCTCCATTGCATCTAAAAGATGCTGAGATACAGCCTCCATTGGCACAGACATATTCACTTGAAGAGCAGGTTGGAGATGCTGTTTTAGACATAAAATTGAGCCAAATAAAATGATAACATAATTTAAGGTTAATAGTTGATAAATTACAGATACCCTACTTGGGTGTAATTTATCTTCCAAAACCTGGAAGACAGTGGCTCTCAATGTATAGAATATGGTGAAGAATTTGGGCCAGGGACAATATTCTTATTCTTGCCCTCATGCAGCCACTCAAGACTTTAACAACAGAGTGGTATAAATGTAATCACAAATACTGAACGATTTCTGTCATTGTATATATTTATAGGTGGCTTTAAGAAAATCAATACTTAAGCAGATATCAAGTTTCTGTCATTTTTTTTACAGATTTACTTAACTTTCATAATTGCATATACTGAAAATCTCATTCTTTGAACATGGAACAAAAACATAGTATACTACTCAGAGAGTATATCTGAACTGTTTTCGTCTGTAGTCAATACATTATTAAGGAACACCTGTCTTCAAAGTTGCCTTCCATAACTATTGGACTTCTGTAATTCTAAGTTGTCTTGGCCATTGCACAAGCTCACTGATATGATAGGAAAGATAGCCCAGTATATCAGAAAATCACCAGGTTAGGGAAGGTTTCTATAGAACCAATCATATTGAGCTACTAGTGTTTTTAAGATTCCTCAGTAACAATTAAAAAGAATTGCAGGTCAGTTCACACTTCAACAATCTCTCTTCTCCTGAATGGAAGAAAAAGCAAAAACCAAGACTGTAAATTAAGAATTATTTTGAAACATTCAATAATATTAATTTTGATGCCCCAAAATATATTTTACCTATTATTTTGATCCCCAAAAGCTAATGGTACAATTCTGCATGATAGTTTATTATGATGTGCTTCAATATTAAGGGTGTGTTTTATACAAAAACAATTTTGAAGAACTTTGGATCTCATACATGCAGATTCTTTAAGATGTTGACTCATTAAAGTTAATGTGACACTTAAAGCAGCCACATTTTTTTTTAATTTCATATTCACAAGGAAATATGAAAAAAAAGTCAAGCTACTTTCATAAATAGAAGAACCACCAGAAGTTGAGCTGAATTTGAGACTTCTGGTGAGGACAATGGCAGCTAAATCATTTCTCCGTGAGAGAGAAGATGGCACCACAGCTGGATTGGTAGCTGGCAGCAAGTGCTGGCCGCCCAACTTGCTCTGGATTAAGGAGGAAGCGAGGAAATTGACCCATATGGTCTCCAGATGGTCATTCCTCAAATGCTAATCATGGAGACAGCAGCTTCAGCAAATGGTTTTGAGTCAAGCAGCCGGAAGGCAGGGAATCCATCTTTGTTCAAAGCTGTGTTGCAGCTTTTATGGGCAGTAAAGCCAACCAAACCTCATTTCTAAACACTATGTATTGTAACTAATTTTTAATTTAAGAGAGATTTTCCTTTGCAACAGATAAGTAATTCTCTTGGTGTTTATCCTTATTTTTGGAACTATATTTTTAAAAGAAGAAATACAGCTTTAATTTGAATTTGATTAATTTGCAAAAAGCAGGAGGAAAACTGGAATTTAAAAGAGACTTAAAAATTAAATATTATGAAAAGGGAAGATTTATTTGTTAAAAGTTTATTTTTCTATGAAACTCCAATTGCAGTAACAAGGTTTGCCTTTTCCAAGTTTCTTGTTTTGCTAGGTTGTGCCTGTTAATTGGCTGAGTTCTTAAAACAGAAGAAGATGTAATTTGATCCTTATGTGTTTCCTCTGACATGTGCCCACACTTTCAGTTTGAAAGGAGTGTGCCTACAATTACAGCATGAAAGGCACCTGAGGGTGTGAACTGTCTGTTTACTTTCACTTATACAATTCCTACAGTTGTTTGCTTTGGGGGAAAAATAATAAGAACATGGCTAGAAGAGGTCCCTTGGATTAGAAGATAAAGCAACTCCTTTAAGTTTACTTCAATCAATTTTTGATGAATTAGGAGCTAAATTTAAGTCCCTTGAAAAAAAAAATAGAGCAAAGATGAAATAAGATGGTTAATTTTGAAATGGATGTGGAGATTGACTTGAAAGTGGATTTGGAGTTGAAAAAAATGCAGGACTATGAAGATGGTATAAAGATACTGTGGATCTGAAAATGGATTTAAAAATGCCAAAGGACAAGAGTGATGTGGAAAAGGATGCCAGAATGGATTTACAAGTGAAATCACCTGATGTTATAATGAGTAAAGAGGGCATACAAATAATGGAAAAGAAGAGTGACTTGGAAAACTTTTTATCTTGGATTTGCAAAAAGGATTGTGCTGAACTGGTGAGGCTGTTCCTGGAAAGAGACAAAGAGAAACTACTGGGGCGGAGATTTTTTTTGAGAAGATAAGGACAGAATGATGGAGAATCAAACAGTGGGACATTATTTGAAAGGATTAAAGATTAATCTTTTTAAAAGTAAACAGAAGGTTTACAAAGTGAACTTATTTGATTATGGTTAATATATTTGTTGAGATTTTTTTGTAGTCATTAATGAGATTTTTTTTTTTTTAAACCAGGACTGAATGATGAGGTTTTAAGGAACTGTGTATAAGGATTAAGGTTAAAATATATTGGTTATTAAATTTAAGAAATTTTTGTTTTTATATATGATATTAAAAGTAATGTTTTTATTTGTATAAGAGTAGAAGTAGACACTATGGAGATGGTTGAGATGGTGAAATTGATGGCTTGGATTTGAGAAAAGATATTGTGTAATTTTAATGCAAATTGGAACCTTTTTCTTTTTTGGACTTTTTGCAAGAAGCAGAGAAAAAATGAAATCATGCTGTATGGATTTGATGATTAGAAATAACATGGGTTAATAGAAATAATGAGAGTTAAGTTGTAAATTTAGAGTAATAGTTTGATGTATATTGTTACTTACATCTGTTGCAAGGAGGGTTGGAAGTCATTTTTTTTTCTTTTGTTGTTTCCCTTTTTCTTTTCTGTACTTTTGATCTTTACTATCTTCTTTTTTCAATTTCCTTTTTCTTAATCTTAATATTAGTTTGTGTTAGTTTTTACTGTTTCTTATTAAAAATTTAATAAAGTTATTAAAAAAAAAGTTGAACTGAATTCAAGAGACACCTCAGCTTTTAATACATTTCATCTTTCCCTTTGTCTTGACCACCTCTTTATCTTGGCACATCTACTTTTTGAAATGAATTGTTAGCATGCTACTCAAAGGACAAGTGGGATCTCCAGCCCCCCCAAAATAATTCATTTCTACTGTAGAAAATAATCTCTACTGGTAACTTTGGAAGTCTCAAAAACATTCAAGACATGATGAGAATATTTGACTCTGGTCCTATTTGGCAGGATGAACCGTGAGAGATCAAATGGGTACAGCAACAGCAAATCTCATGCTATTATGTCACAGTGCATTTTTAAATTTATGGTCATTTAAATTTAGACATACATCCAGAAAAAAGTCTAATAGTTTTTCACATAATGTTCTAAGTATTTTTTTTTTTTACCATTAATAAGAAGTAAATACTTACCTGATTCACAATTCTTCTCATCTTCTCCCAGGATGCAGTCATCATATCCATCACATTTCCATTTTGCTGCTATGCACTGACCATTGGAACACTGAAACTGGTCTTTTAAGCAGCCAGAGTCACAATACCTCTGATATAAAAGCAGTGCAACTCATTTAATTAATGTAAAATATAATACCAATAAAAATGTATTTGCAAATAAAAGCTGGTCTTAAAGCTATTTGAGAATTCTCTGATTATACAGTTAACAACTGCAATAGGAAGTCTCACAAGTGTCAATAGTTTAACAATTATAACAATACATTTATCAATTTGTTAAAAACTAGACTGATACAATTATTCTAATTTTGCTGTTAATTTTTTGTTTTTAAATACTATGCCTTTCCTCAAAGTAGAGAGCATCAACAGCAGTAAGATATTGTATCACATGTAATATTTTGAGTAGTGGAAATAAGTTTATCCTAAATCCTTACGGGGTTAAATCTTAAACTCTTGTTCCATTAGGCAAAGAACATGTTAATTTCAATGGACTGTTTGCAGCTTCCTTGCAGTACGTTACAATCATTACAATGGGTCCCTTAATTTTCCAAAGCAGTCAGTGTGAAATTTTCTTTCAAAAACTCATGTTCTTGGCAGATTTAGCTATCTCTGTGCATTCTTTATTAGTTATTGAAACATATTGTTCATGGTGCAGGTTCTGGGACTGCTGACATTTTCCAGCAATTGGAAAGAGCTAAAGAAAGTTGGTTTTCCTCCTTGTCCTACTACTCCTCATCCTCGTCCTCCTCCCCACTCTTACTCTTCTTTGGGCAACACAAATTTATTTGGTCAGATGTTGCCTAAATTTTCTAATATGATTTTAGGCTAAAAAGTATTTTTTAAGGTCTTGCTGCCCAAAGTGATGACACAGCATTTGTAAACTGAAGTTATTTCTTCTCTTACTGGTTCATTTCTTGGCAATGAAGTATCCTAGGGACAATTATAGCCCATCTCTTACTCAATGGACCAATTGCTTATAAATAAAAACAACAACAAAAACCCTTTATCTAATGATAGTATTGCCTAAACAGGTATTATGAAGTGGTTTCTTTTGAAAAGTACAGAATGTTTTGCTCATGTACAGAATTACAGACTACATTTCACTCAAAATCCACCAGTGTTTATCTTGCTATTTATATCCATTTTTTAAACTTTTCCTCTTTTTCCTCTATCACTTACCCATTCTCAAGGGTCTCTCTCTCCAGATTCACGCTTTTCTCCACCCCAGTTCTCTTATTAGGAAGTACCTTAGTGAAATGCAAGTAAATTCCCATTTCATCATATTTCTCTTATTCATTTATTTGTGTTTGGACAGAGTATAAAGAAGGAGAGGTATAACTCCTATTTTTTTTCCTTTTCTCTCAGTTATTCATTTTTTGCTTCTTAAAATGCCTTCCTTTCCTCCTCCAAGCATCTAAAAATCAATGTGCAGCCTCCCTTCCTTGCTGCTAGATGGCCATCCACACTATTCATGCATTACCCAGGTGCCATGATGGAGCATTTCATCAGGGGTAACCTGTTCTGCATGGTTGTTGTACTGAATGGATGTCAGTAGGCTTGACAGTTTCTGTCTTACTGTCTACTGGCCACTTCAACAAGTCATTATTCTTTCCACTTTAAACAATAAGAAACAGTTTTGTTCGGGGGACAGCCTTCACAGTTAATTGCGAACCTCTCAATCACTTATTTTTAAGTTCAAAAACTTGTTTTTGTGGTTTTCCTAAGTAAACTGCTCAAATTAATGCATGTTGCAGTCTTTTATAGATTGCAGATGGTATTTTCCAGAAGACCAAAATCCTACCCTCTTGATTTCTTGCACTGTTATGAGAATCTGATTCCTCATGATATACCTCCAGTAAGTAACAAAATAGATGACTTGGAAAACCACAACCAAAATACTACTTTACCTCATCTGAACCATCTACACAGTCATAATCACCATCACACCAGAATCTTGCAGACATGCAGTCTCCATTTGAGCAGTGAAAATCCTTCTGAGTACATGTTTGTGGTTCTGAAAAAAGAAAAAGGCTCTAAAATCTAATCCTTTCAACTGCTTGTTTCTCCCAGTTCTTAAACATGAAAATACTATGTGCTTGTTACTGAAATACAAATGTTGAAAGGAAAAATAGAAAGCTGGGTTGCTATGCACTCTGCTTTGAACTCCTGACTGAACAGTGGGATATAAATCCAACATAGGAATAAATACTCCTTCCTTGCTTCCACTACTGTTCCTGTGCAACTGATATTTGCTGCACAGTGCTCCCAATGTGGAAATCACACAGAGTTTTCAAATCTGATAGCCCTTGAAAGACTTGTTTTCCATGAATTATCCAATTGCCTTTTAAAGCCAAAAAAATTAGTGGCCACCATCACATTTTATGGTTCAGTTCTACAGATTAATTATGGACTCTGTGTAAATAATTGCTTTCTTTTGCCTATTTTAAATCTTCTGATCAGATTAACTGGATAGCCACTGGCCCTAGTGTTTTAAAAGAGGAATAAAAACCTCTCCTGGTCACTTTCTCCAGGTCATGGATGCCATAATTTAAACTGAAAGGAGTGAAAAAGGGTGGTCTTACTTCTTAAAAGCAGAAAGAAAAGCGGTTGAGCACAATTCCTAAGAGAATCTTGGGATCTTCCCTAATTTTATCTCCAAAACAACCATGAGAGGTGGATTGGGCTGAAAGAAGTTTACCTCAAGTCATCCCCTGAGTATCACAGACAAGTGGGAACAAACCTGGGTCACTGTGATCTAAGTTGAACATCTTAACCATTATGCTTCTCTTGCTATAGATTACAATTAGACAGAGGAAAACTAGAATTTCTCCTCTGTATGTAACTGAAATACAAAGTTGGCTTGGGATGCCAAAAGCAAGAAGAAAATGCCTTATAAGAATCCTTATAACCTGCTGGAACCGAGAGCAAGGCTTATTAATTACTGTAACATGGAGATGCTTTGCACACAGTCATGCTTCATCCTGAACAAGTGCAACAAAAGTGGAGATACAAAATACCATGTGCATAAAATATATGAAAAAGTTATGCACCTCAGTAATTTTTTATTATTATTTCATTTCTTTATGCAATATAATTCTGCCTCAAGCCATAGAAACTCCAGGTGGTTTACAGAAAGTAAAACATGATAAAACAACAATGACAAACAGAATTAAATAACAATAATAACAATGGAAGTACATTATTACTTTAACTACAGATGAACTATAGACTGATATAAGGACATTACAATGTTGGCTTTTTTTTTTAACTCCAGTCCCATTTCTAATGGTCCCTGCCATGGAATTTCTCATCTTCACTGAACTATCCACCATGACCCTAGTTATGACATAAGCTATAGATACTTTAGACCACATGAATGGATATCTGAATTATCCCACCCCACCCCTCAGTGTGCATGAATTTACACTTCTTTAAACAATATTGCATTTGCCATTTGGTTGACCATTCACCCAGTTTGAAGAGTTCCTTCTGGACCCCTTCACAGCCCTTTTTGTTGGTTGAATTGTTTGATGTCATCTGCAAACTGTGTCAGATCACTGTTTACTCCTAAATCAGGATAATTGATCAGAATAAAAAAGTACTAGTCTCAGCACAGATCCTTGAGGGTCTCTACTTACTCCATGGAGAAAATCGCTCATTTATTCCTACATTGTGCTTGCTGTTTCTAACCAATTAGCAATCCATAAAATGACAGGTCCCCTTACTCTATAACTATAACCCAAAAGCCTTTGATAAGGAACTTTATGAAAGGGTTTTGAAAATCCTCTGATAGACTTCAAAAGAAATGTGGCAAGTATTTTTCTATAGTAGAGCTGACCTATATAGATATGATAAAATGGGCTCTATTCTGCAATTTTTCTTTTTAAGTGGGCTTCAAGGACAACAATTTATAATTATCAATATATTTATTTATTTATTTATTTATTTATTTATTTGTTTTTACTATTTTTGGTACTGAAGATTAAAATGGCAACACATTAGGAATTTATTTAAGTACTGGGATTTCTAGTGAGGACATGGTGAGCGAAACATCCCTGAAGGAGCGGGGATGGCATTTATGGTGGAGATGGGCAACCGGATGCTGGATTGTGGCTGGTGAAATCTCTCCAGAGAAAGGAGAGATCATGAGATTGCCCAAATGCTCCTTGTGAGTAGACTGTAGGAACTGCAGTTGGCTTATGTGAGTGGCTGAGAGTCCAGGGATTCCACCTAAGCTCACAGTTATAACATAGCCTATATGGACATAAAGCTTGACCAAGCCTCATTTATTAATCACCTTTGGGGTTATTATTATTTATTTATTTTTTACTGCTTTTCAAATATTAAGAACCTTCAGAACAGCAAGTTTTTATTGCATTCACTGGGTGAGTCTCCTTCTTAGCAAAAGAGGTTTTAAGTATGAGTTTAAGGATTTAGGGAAAAAAAAACTTTTTGTAATAAACAGCAAAAGGGTGTTTAGAGTGTTGATTTTGGAAAGTTAAAAATGGACTAAGGGTCCAAATGGATTTGAAATAAGGCTTTGAAATTAATAACAAGAATCCTTTCCAGGGAAATTGCTATTGTTTGGATTCCTTGGGGGTGAAAAATATATGATAGGATAGGATAGGATTTTGGAGGCTAGACACTAGAGAGAGCTAGAAGAAACTAAATATTACAATTAAAAAAGAAGAATACTTAAAGTCAACTTTACAGAATGGAGCAAAATACTTTAACATTGGACATTTTCAAGGATATTTGTGAACAATGGACTCAAAAGTTAATTTTAAGAATGTCATCATAGACAGATGGAGTGTAAATGATGTTACAGAAGAGGAACAAGCTCTACCGGACAAGGCTGATAATCGACTTGAATGGGGACATAAAAATGACAGGTTACAAGAATGATATGGAAAAAGATGTTATACTGGACATACAAATGAAACCGGTTGATATGTTAATAATTAAAAGGGACATACAAATAAAAAACCAGAAGAGTGATTTGGATAACTTTTCTATACTGGATTTATAAAAGAGACTTGCTGACATTTTGAAGGATTTTCTGAAAAGGGATAAAGAAAAAATGAAAAGAAATCAAGTTCTAGGACATTGTTAATCAAGATTGTTAAAAGTACAGGGAAGGAATATAAAGTTGGTTTATTTGATCAAGGTTAAAATAGATATGTAGTTATCTCGGGTTGACATTTTGAAGGATTTTCTGAAAAGGGATAAAGAAAAAATGAAAAGAAATCAAGTTCTAGGACATTGTTAATCAAGATTGTTAAAAGTACAGGGAAGGAATATAAAGTTGGTTTATTTGATCAAGGTTAAAATAGATATGTAGTTATCTCGGGTAACGTTTAATGGACTTTTGCTGACCAGGAATGAATGATGAGTTTTTAATATTTTATTTATAGTTAAGAGATGAGTTATGGAAATAAGAGAGCATTTACTGCATTTTAAGAGAAGGTGATAAGTTACTAAAATTGTTTAGACTCGTTGTGATGAAGGGGGAAGTTATT